AAGGTCTATTGAAATCAAGTGATAATTTGGGATTATCTTCCCTTTGCAGATCACCTTCTATGAGGACCGGGGCTTCCAGGGTCACTGCTATGAGTGCAGCAGCGACTGTCCCAACCTGCAGATCTACTTCAGCCGCTGCAACTCCATCCGGGTGGACAGCGGTTGCTGGATGCTCTATGAGCGTCCCAACTACCAGGGGCACCAGTACTTCCTGCGCCGGGGCGAGTACCCCAACTACCAGCAGTGGATGGGCCTTAACGACTCGATCCGCTCCTGCCACCTCATCCCCCAGGTGAGTGTGGCTTCGTTTTGGATCCCTTTGGGAATGAAAGTCATTTAAAAATATCATTCTTAAACTACATAGTCCAATTAGACAGCAGTAGAAAGTGGAAGTGACGTTAATGCATGCAGCCCAGCCTAGGTGGTGCCTCAGGTGTGAGGCTTTTTTCATGAACTCTGTGGTATTGTCTTTTCATTATATGTTCCCTAACTTTATATGTTAAATGTAATAAAAAATTACACGCCTGAAAGACTAATTAAGAAAAAGCAGGGCATGAAAGAGACTGAAATTACCATCTGTTCAAGATGTAATTTCAACTAATAGTTGGGATGGGTACACAACATGGTAAATGTAATTACTGTCAGTACACACTTAAAAGGTTGAAATGGCAAAGATTTGTTATATATATTTCGCCACCAAAAAAAAAAAAACAAAAAAACATGTAATTTCCTTAAGTGGTCATTCCAGGTCATTTCAACCTAGAAGCCCAACATATCAAAATTTATAAATACAATCTGTGACTGTTTCATTGATTTGAAATACTTTTGCTTAAACCTCTATTTGATTATTCTTTCCAGAGACTATGGGCCCGTATGTATGGTTTCTAGTTCTAATTTAGTGGTCAATTTCTATTGGCTCACTTTGAGGTATAAACTAGCAGGAAGACTGTTTTAGTTATCAAATGCTGCTATAACAGAAATACCACAAGTGGGTGACCTTAACAAATAGAAACTTATTTTCTCACTGTGTGGGAGGCTAGAAGTCCAAATTTAGGGCACCAGCTCTAGCGGAAGGCTTTCTCTGTCTGTGAGCTCTGGGGGAAGGTTCTTGTCTCTTTTCAGCTTCTGCTCCCTGGTTCCTTGGTGGTCTTCATGTGGCCTGGCATCTATCTTTCCCCATCTCTGCTTGGTTGCCTGGTTGCTTGCTCAGTCTGCTCTTTTTATATCTGAAAAGAGATTGACTTAAGACACACCCTATGCTAATACTTCCTCATTAACAAAAAAAAAATAAAAAAACATTCTCAAATGGGATTATAGCCTCAGGTGTAAAGCAAAAAACACATTGCCATGGATTGGATTCTGACTCATAGGGACCCTATGGGACAGAATAGAAACTGCCCCATAGGGTTTCTAACGCTGTAATCTTTACAGAAGCAGACTGCCCCGTATTTCTCCCGCAGAGTGGCTGTGGGTTCGAACCACCTCCCTTCCGGTTGGCAGCCAAGAACGTTAACCACTGTGCCACCAGATCTGCAATACATATTTTTGGGGACACATTCAATCCATAGCAATGGCCATGAACAAAAGTGAACTTTGAGGTTCAATATTTTCTGGGGAGTGATTGCAGTGTTCTTAGAAGAGGGGAATATGGGAGGCATGTGTCAATAAAACAGAGTTTAATGAAGATAATTCTTGTTGCTGGGAGAAAATTAATAAACTGAGGGTAAGAGGCCACAGAGGAAGCTCAAGAATCAGGTTGGAATTTGAACTGAACTTGATATAATGAAAACAGAGATAAAGAAAAGGTGCGATGTTATTTTTATAAGAGCTTAGTAATCTATGTCCCATGTTGTTGTTAGGTATTGCCAAGCCGTTTCTGATTCATAGTGATCCTATGTACAACAGAATGAAACACTACCCGGTCCTCTGTCGTCCTCACAATCTTTGCTATGTTTGAGCCCGTTGTCGCAGCCACTGTGTCAATCCATCTCTTAGAGGGTGTTTCTCTTTTCTGCTGACCCTCTACATTACCAAGCATGATGTCTTTCTCCAGGGATGGGTCCCTCCTGATAACATGTCCAAAGTAGGTGAGACAAAGTCTCTCCATCCTTGCTTCTAAGGAGCATTCGGGCTTACTTCTTCCTAGACAGATTGGTTTGTTATTCGGGAAGTTCATAAGTATATTCAGTATTCTTCACCAACACCATAATTCAAATGCCTCAATTCATCTTCGGTCTTCCTTATTCGTCGTCTTGCTTTCACACACATATGAGGCAACTGAATATACCAGGGATTGGGTCAGATGCACCTTAGCCCTCAAGGTGACATCTTTGCTTTTTAACATTTTAAAGAGGTATTTTGCAGCTGGACTATATGAAGAAGAATGCAGCATCAGGATTGGAGGAAGACTCATTAACAACCTGCAATATGCAGTTGACACAAACTTGCTTGTTCAAAGTGAAGTGGACTTGAAGTACTTATTGATGAAGATCAAAGGCTACATACTGCCTTCAGTATGGATTACACCTTAACATAGAGAAAACAAAAATCTTCACAACTGGACCAATAGGCAACCTCATGATAAACGGAGAAAATATTGACGTTTTACTGATTTCATTTATTTGGATCCACAATCAACGCCCATGGGAATCAATGTCCCATAGTGCCCATGAAAATCCTCACATTAGTCTTACAGAAAATAACTCAATGTTGATTCCTTTTGTATACAT